TTTCCCCCCCCCCCCCCCCAAACCCCTCCCTATTGAGGAATAAAACTTTTTGTAAATTGAGTGAGAAGAATGAAATGGGGCTTGAGATGATTGTTGATAAGCACCAAATAAAAATGTGGTATTACAACACATTCCATTAGGCTTCTGAAATGGCAAAAAAGCTCCAAAGATGTGGTCCATTGAGCCAACTTGGGCAGATGGAACAAAAAGCTTTAGCTGGCTAATGCTAATACATGCCAATGACTTGCTTTAGCTGTAAATCTATTTTTCTAGGTGCTGGATACAAATTTATTATGCTCAAACCAGATATGCTCAGATCTAATTGGTGACCTTGATTAAAAGATTTGCTCCTCTCATTATCCACTTCTGAATTTATTTTATTTTGCTTGTAACCAAGAAGTAATTTCTTATGCTTTTGACAGGAAATAATAACTGTATTATAGTAGAAATTTAAATTTCTCAATCTTAAATTATGCAGCTTACCAGCTGTGGTGCTGGTTTCTTTTTTGAGGATGTGGTCCACATCTTGTACAAGTCTATAAAATCGTCGATTATCAAGTTCGCTACCTTTTGGTGCAAGTTTTGTGCTGCTAAGTTACTTTAAGAGGTGATATTTCTGAGTGAAATACGGATTTCCTTCGCGAGATTAACTAATGACATGTCTAGGAAAAAAAAAAAACAGAAAGAATAACTAATGGCATGTACTGGAAAATAAAGATAAAATGGAAAAAGTCCTAATTGAGTAATGCGCTAGGGCTCCTTGTTCTGACTTTATGTGAACCTTTTCATTATATAATGATTTAGTTGGATATAATGTTGGATATGCATGAGTGTGACATCTTCTTTTGGTGGTTCTACTATAATATATAGTGCATCTCCTATAAATGTAGCATTCCAAAACATTTGGCATGCCGGGAACTTTTCAGTCCAATGGATGAGGCAGTGTACCAAAAATCTACCAACTATAATCTCCTTTCAACCGGAAGGAATGGAACAGATATTATCTGTTGCAAAACTAGTGCTTCAGATTAAAAGCTTAGAATATTTGGCTTTGAGTTAAATCCTTGTTTGAAGGATAGCATTTGTTCAAGATCTGAAAGACACGAGAGTGTAAGCTCCTTAGAAACATTTATGGATGAACGACCAAAGGAAAAAACTTCCATCTGTATGAATTCCTCTGGTATAGTTCTTCCCAACCCAAACGAGAACCTCCGAAACTTGAGTGTCTCAGCTGTCATGGAGCTTAAATATGAGTGCCACTTCTGTTTGAAAAAGTTTTCAAACTCACGGGCACTTGGAGGTCACCAAAATGCCCATAGAAGAGAGAGGCTGAAGAAGAAAAGGATGGATCTTGAAGCAAAAAGGGCAAGTAGCTCCATGTTCTACCTTAATGCTTTAATCAGAAACAATGGAGTTATGTACCCTTACTCTTATGTTCCCACCATTGTTTACGGAAGTTCACTTATCAGTTTCAGCTCTGTATATCACTGTCAGAACGGCACTCATTCCCCATGTTTTACTGTTGCTAGTTCTTCAGGTGAACTATACTTGCAGAATAGCTCTTTTATCGCGATTCAGGGTGGTGAGTCTAGAGGGAGATATCCCTTGTCCCTTGTCATCGTGCCCTCTACTTCCTGAGCGTTAAGTAGTTTGCTGGAAAGTTGCTGTCATCTAAAAGTGGTGTGCTAATATCCTTTGAATATGCTCTTGTTTTATCAGACAAGGATATAGCAGCTCGTTGTACTAACACTACATTTTTCTTATTTTGAATATATCCTGTTTTGGATTTAATATATTCTTAATTACTACTCTATGTTTACGCTTCGGGACCACCGCTAAAATAAAAGTTCAAGAAAACCCTTAGACAACATCGAACTTTCCTTTTACGAATTTTTAAATTAAAAGAATGCGAGGTTGGCTTTAATTGAAAAAGGAGCAGCTAGCACTATGGCTAACATAATACTTCAGATGGAAATTTACGTGGCTTAAATATGTAGCTGTATTAGCTTAGGTTTTGCCTCAGAAAGTAATTGTATTTAGTGTTTACATGTATTTTGACTGAATTTATGTAAGTATTTTGATTTAGTAAAAGCAACTTGTCTCGTACTAATTCGAGATCAACTACTAATTTAGTAATATCTATAATATAATACTGAGGCGTAAGCTTTAGTGTGTTAGTAGGCATGGGACGCTAGTTTATATAAGGCATGAAGCATAAGTTCAACGAAAGTTTTATTTAAAAATATACAATAACAATATATCTACATGAAATATACTATTATAGAACAAAAATATGGAGTATCATACAAGTCATAGTCAAATAGTTTTAAAAATGTTATAAATAGAAAATTCAAGGCACAACATGTATAATATAGAAAATTTGTGTATTAGCATGTATATTTAACGCACGAGATAGACCATTAGAGATGTGGTCGTACGAATATTGGATAATTAGTACTCCTATTGATTTTGATAAAAATACTTAAAAAGGCATAGGATGATCCACAATTTACTATAGTGAGGAGTCATGTAGGAGGTTGAATCTCTCGGAAATTATTAGTATTAGACAAGAAAGGGAACAAAATGAATGTGTGATATGGCGGCTTGTGATTGGGTTCTCCAACGAAGCAATGCTGACAGGGATTTTGAACACATCAGAACAGATTTGATCCCCAATCCAAGATGTACTGCACTTTCCATACCCATCTTCTTCTCCAATTTTCCCTCCATTAATTTTCGTATCTCAAAAGAGAAGCATCAAATATGTTTCGACCAGCGGTGGCAATATGGATTCTTCTCTATCTTGTCATCTCTCCCTCCATATTTATCATCTGTTTGTCACAACAACACTCCACCAATCTTATGGCAGATAAAAGGAAGCGCATGAGCGATAGAGTTCGCGAAATGTAAGTCTAAACTTGTCTCAATCGCCTATCTTTCATTAATATCAATTAAAGATGTGATTTCCTTTACAAAAAAACTTGAAAAGGCTTTTGATGAATATATAGTCTAAAGTTTAATTTCCTCGCAAATTATACATGATGTAGCTATAAATGCTCGTTTTCATATTCCGTTGTCATTTACGAGCCTACAAGAGAGGAGGAAAGTACAATTAACATAATTTTCTTGTTAACATGCTACATTATTAAATAACGTTTTCTGGTGTGGCAGGTTTTACCATGCTTATGATAACTACATGATGTATGCTTTTCCGGTGAGACAAACCTCTGCATTTACTTTTCCTGTTTTACATTCCATCTGCTACTGTTGAATCAGCATCCAGAAGCTACCAACTCAAGTTACTAACTTTTTGGCTGTCTAATTTTTGTTGCAGCATGATGAGCTGAAACCTCTGACCAACACCTACACAGATTCTCTAAGTGAACTTGGAAATTTGAAGGTAAGAGTATGCCTTAACTTTAAAAGAATTCTCATTGAAGAAAACAAGCCTTATTTATTACTAATAGTATGAAATGGTTTACCATGTGTCGCCATATTTAGCTTGAACATCTGCCACAACAGTACAATGGGTCTGCTCTTACCCTAATTGAATCACTCTCCAGGTAGGTTACACTTGTTGTTCTTCTTGCAACTCAGAACCAATTATGTATCATTTTTATTTTGCCCATTTATCTTTTTTTCTTCCAGCCTCGCAATCTTGGGTAACTACACTGAGTTTGAAAAGGCTATTCTTTGGCTATCCGAAAATCTATCATTTGATGTTGATGCAAGGATAAATCTGTTTGAGGTAATACATATATTGTAACATTTACATTTCTTTGTATGGTCTAATTGGGTGATTGTGCTTGCCTTGTGTATCTTCAATTTTTTGGCGCAATTAATACTTTTGATAACCACGTTTAAGTAGTATTTCCAAGCACTCAATCAAGGAGGATATGTGCTTTGGCTCACGTTTTATTCAAGTCACTTAATAATTTTTCTCTTTTCCTGACCACCAATTGTAGTGCAACATAAGAGTTCTTGGAGGACTTGTTTCTGCTCATATTCTTGCCACTGATTCTACGAACAGGTTGGTTCAAGGAACTTATAAGAATCAACTCCTTGACCTGGCTGAGGATTTGGGACAACGCTTTCTACCTGCTTTCAATACTCCAACCGGATTACCTTATGCTTGGATCAACTTAAAGGTACATATCATCAATCTTACTGCTTTCTTGTTTGGTAATTCTTATCACAATGTATGCAAGAGATACTCACAGAGAGGTACTTCCGGACAAAATAAATAGAAAGCAAGGAAATGCTTGATGGAAATAAATCAGTTGAAGAGATATTCAAGTTAGTCTATGCTTTTACTTGAAGGTCAAGAGATAACCTTGTAGATTACCATTTTAGCAACACATTCTTTATTATGACAGCTGTCTTACCAAGGAAGGAAACAATAGTACAAAATGTAGGATTGCATATAGATGTTCGTAACACGCAGCCGAAGACAATAACAATCCTAGGTATATCTTTTCGTGTTTAAAATTTATTTACATGTCAAAGATTGAATCTAAGACGTACCTGGTGAATAGAGTCTTGTTTCAAAATTTCTTCGATAGTGCGAAGACTCTATGCGTATCCACACCGAGACCGATCCTTGCTATCAACTCTTTGATCAATGAAATCGCTAACAAATTGGATGAAGAATACCATGCTGAAGTTTTTTCTCATAAACCTTCAGTGTAGTAGTAATCGGACAAGAAACTATTTTTCTTGTCAAAGACGTTTCTCTCGCCTTTTGGATTTTGTGAAGACAATCTCTACTGCTTCTAGTTGAATAATATCTATATATATATATATATATAACCATAGCCTTATTTCCTTTTATGTTAAGGAAAAGGCTAATGACGGTGACTTCACGTAGCTAAGCCCAAAGTTCTTAAAATTGGGCATGTACAATTTTCTTATAAAATTGCAAATCCCATTCCTAATGGGAATCAGATGAAAGCCACGTCCAACATATATACATAGTATATATGTATTGATAACTATTTTAGATAATAATTAACCAAGAGATATAATTCAATATACTATTCTAAATATTAAAATCCAATTTGCTTACAATATTCATTAAATTCTGTGTGCCAGCAAAGAATATAATAATATTTCATCCGTATTAATAACTAACTTTATTTGACTAATTAAATTATTTAATTTAATTATCAAATAAAATAATTAATCCTTTAGCAAAGATTAGAACACTCGTTAGTGTGCGACCCCACAGGTTCAATACTAAACCTGTAGTAAATTGATCGCATCAATATACTAATCAAGGGTGGCGTCTAGCAACACTCAACGATCGGATAGAATGAAGTATATAATTTACTCTCAAGAATCAGTAGAAGAATAATGTAGTAGTTCCTTCTGTCCTTATAGCTCCGGGTCACCCTAGGATATGATTCAACTGTCAAATCCTAATAGGCGACCAACTATGTGTTCATATCAAATATAATCGACTATTGAATGACCTAATAAACTCTTTTCTTCTTTCATTTAATTGCTATGGCCAAGGTCTTAATTTGGTCGTTTACAATTCATGACAACATGGAGCTTAAACTCATTACCAAGAGTTGACTGACTCCATTTTGATCAGTCACTAATTCTACAAGTATTTAATCGTACCCAATATCCTTTCAGCTATCGCCCTAGGGCCATAGGTGTCTAGTATCAAAACATAGTAAATAACTTGTCAATTACTATGACGATCTCAGGTCAAAGGAAACTTTTACATCACATTCTTCAAGAGAATATCCTATTGACAATTTATGGTAATTTTTACCATTAGGAATTATTCAATGAGTCGGTTCAATGATCATATCTCTATATGCATCATCTATCTATATGATTTAGTTGGTGAGATCAACTAATCTTTATCCAATAAACACGATCACATAAATATTGATCTAATCAGATTACTAATGTCCAAATTAATAACCCTATGATCAAGAACAAATTTAGATTAAATTATAATCTCCATCACAATATCAAGTCTCAAAATTTAATCAAGGACCTTATCAAGTTAATCAAACAATTAATAATAACTATGATGAAAGAATATCAGATGCAATATGTTTTTATATCAAATAACGTTCACAAAAATATGTTCAAATCATCAAATATGAGATTGGATCTAGGGCATATCTACTATATCCCTAACAATCTCCCACTTGTTTTAGAGCCAATCGCTATTGTACTCCATTCCCAATTTTCACTTGTGTTTGTCAAACTCCTTTGCACCAAGAGCTTTAGTGAATGGGTCTGGAGTATTTTCCTTTCCATCAACCTTTTGAATCTAGACGTCTCCACGTTCAATGATTTCTCTTATCAAGTGATACCTTCGCATGACGTGTTTGGATTTTTGGTGTGATTTTGGTTCTTTTACTAGAGCAATGGCTCCAGTATTGTCACACAACAATGGAACCGCACCTTCTATTGAAGGAACCACACCAAGTTCAGTTAAGAACTTTTTCACCCATACAGCTTCCTTAGCAGCTAGTGATATATTCTGCTTGAGTAACTGAATCAGTTACTGTAGCTTGTTTGGAGCTTTTCCAACTCACTGCACCACCATTTAAGGTGAATACATAACCAGAAATAGATTTGCTATTATCTCTATATGAAGAGAAACTTGCATCAGTATAACCTTCAAGTTTCAATTCAGAATCTCCATATATGAGGAATTGATATTTAGTCCTTCTTAAGTACTTAAGAATGGTCTCCACCACCTTCCAATGTTCCTCACCAAGATTTGCCTGATATCGGCTAGTCACTCCTAGTGCATAAGCCACATCAGGACGTGTACATGTCATGGTATGCATGATAGCTCCCACTGCACTAGCGTATGGGATCCTACTTATGTGTTCTCTCTCCTTAGGTGTTTTAGGACAATCCTCCCTACTAAGAGTAATTCTACCGACAGGCTCTTTTGGAATTATCCATGCTATACCTCTTTAAGATGGTATCAATGTACAAAGACCGGGAAAGTACAAGCAGCTTCCTCGATCTATCTCTATAGATCTTTATTCCCAAAATATAAGCTGCTTCTCCCAAGTCTTTCATGGAGAACTGTTCAGATAGCCAAATCTTGGTACTTTGCAATGCCGGTATATCATTCCCTATGAGTAATATATCATCAACATACAGTACTAAGAGTATAATTATGCTCCCACTAACCTTTTTGTACACACAAGGCTCTTCTTCGCATCTAACAAAATTGAACTTTTCAATTGTCTTGTTAAATCGAATATTCCAACTTCGAGAATCTTGCTTTACTCCATAAATGGATTTTTGTAGCTTGCAAATTTTATTATGATCAAACGGAGATGTGAAACCTTCAGGTTGTGTCATGTACACATCCTCTTCTAGCTCACTATAAAGGAAAGCTGTTTTCACATCCATTTGCCATATTTCATAATCATAGTATGCTGCTATAGCAAGCAAAATTTGAATTTATTTGAGCATTGCCACGGGAGAGAAAGTCTTGTCATAGTCGACTCCTTCTTTCTGACGATATCCCTTGACAACAAGACGAGCTTTGTAGGTCTCTACCTTTTTGTCTGCTTCAATCTTTTTCTTAAAAACCCATTTACAACCTATAGGTTTTATATCCTTTGAAGGTTCAACTAAAGTCCATACTTTATTTTCCTTCATGGATTCCATTTCGGATTCCATAGCCTTTTGCCATCTCTCATAGTCAGAACTTTGTATAGCCTCTTCATAGGTCTTAGGGTCATTATCAAATGATGATCAACCTCATTTGATACATCATCTTGTACCATTAGATTTAATCTAGTTGGTACATGACGTTCTCGTGTAGACCTTCTAAGAGGTGCTTGTACAACTTGTTCACCTTGTGCTGGATTTGGTTGTTGTTCAATTTGGTTTGTAACTGGTTTATTAACCTGTTCTTGAACTACATTTAGTTCTTGAACTTCAACCGTTGAAGATGGAAACTTCCTTGTCAACTTCAAAACATCCAATAAAGGTTGTTCAACTTGTGTCTCATGATCTTGATTTTGTGTTGATTCATTAGTTTCTTGAACTTCATCAAGTTCTATTTCTCCACTATAATTTCCTTCCAAAAGAAATTCTCTTTCCAAAAAGGGTGCTCCTCTAGCCACAAACACTTTATGGTCAGAAGGGTGATAGAAATAATATCCCATTGTTTCTTTGGAATACCCAATAAACCTGCACTTATCAGATCTTGAGTCAAGTTTATCAGACTGCAGTCTCTTAAAATAAGCTGGACAACCCCAAACTTTAATATGTTTAAGGTTAGGCTTACGTCCTTTCCATATCTCATATGGTGTTGTAGAGACTTGACTCAGTGAGAACTTTATTAAGTATGTTGCTGCTTGCAAAGCATATCTCCATAAATTTATTGGAAGAACAGTGAACCTCATCATAGATCTCAGCATATCTAATAAGGTTCGATTTCTCCTTTCAGATACACCATTGTGTTGTGTTCCTGGAGGTGTCCACTGTGAGAGAATCCCATTCTCTTTGAGATACCTAGTAAAATCTTCACTAAGATATTCTCCCCCTCTATCAGACCTTAGTACTTTGATACTTTTACTAGTTTGTTTCTCAACTTCAGTACGGAACCTTTTGAACATTTCAAAAGATTCAGATTTGTGTTTCATAAGATACACAAATCCATATCTTGACATATCATAAGTGAAGGTGATGAAGTTAGAATATCCACCTCTAGCTTGAATTTTCATGGATCCACAAACATCTGTATGAATTAGTCCCAATAATTCAGAAGCTCTTTCTCCACTTTCAGTAAATTGAGATTTGGTCATTTTTCCTTTGAGACAAGATTCACAAGTTGGATATGATTCAAATCATACTTGTCAAAGTACCCTTCCTTGTACAACTTGTTAATTCTTTTCTCTCCAATATGACCAAGCCTACGATGCTAAAGGTATGTATGATTTACTTGATCATCTCTTTTTCTCTTAAGACTAGAAACATGCATAATCGAATTTGCATTCACATTAGGTAAGAAATAAACATCATGTTGGAGATAGCCATTCACATATAAATCATCACCATAATAAATAGAGCAAATACCATTGCCTATGTTAATGCGAAACCCACGCTTGTCCAACATAGAAACTGAAATTATGTTCGAAACAAATTT